CCTTCTCCTGCCACTTCTCCTGCAGCTGCTTTGATTCCCAGGGATTTGTTGTGGCCGTGCCTGCCTAACGGTTTGGCAGATTGCCCCAGGGAATGGGGATGCTGCAGCCGCGGGCGGGCACTGGGAATGGCCTCGGAGACCCGGAGCAGGTGAGGATACCCCGAGCCCTGCCAGCCTCTTCCCATCCTAACAGGGCTGATTCGCCTTCATCCAAGGGTGTGCAAACGTTACTGCCCTCCCTGATTATTCTTTTTTTTCCCAGGGAGTGAGGAGAATGCTGCCTGTTCAGCAGGGAAATAAAGCAGTGCCTGCCCAGCAGTCTTGCTGTGGTGCTCGAGCTCAGCTGCAGCCCAGCCACATGTGGGAGGAACACGAGAGAACAGCACAAATCTGAGGCATATTTGGGCCTCCAAGTCCTCAAGTCTCATTCAGATTTTGCATTCTTTGCTCTAATTGCTGAACTGCATTCCCACTTCCCTCCTCTGCTCTTCTAACTGTATTTTTATTTTCCTGGTCTCCTGCAATAACAAGCATTCACAGTCCCCTTCCTACCTGCTTATTTGTTCTCTTCAACTGCCCTGAAAATCAATAAAAAAGGCAATAGAAAAGTGGAGATAAGTGTGAAAACAGGGCCCTGTGAAGCTGTCTACCGTGTGCCAAGAAGGAATATAAGAAAAGTTGGTCTCCTGGAAATGGAATTTACAGACTGGAAATGTCACATCCAGCATCACTTTCATGTGGTGGAACTGCTGCTGCCCACCACTGAAATAACAGAGCATCTGTTCAAAAATGTGGCTTGGGGTTTGCTGAAATCCAGCAGGTTGCACTCACTCCAATAAGTGTTAGATCCTCGTTTCAAAACAGGAGTGCAAATGCTCTGGTACCACAAATGTATTGAAAGCAAATGTGTGCTTGGCCCAGCTTCAGAGTCCCCACTGAACCCTGCTCAGAGCTTGGTGATGGGAATGACTCAGGGAGCAAGGAGAGTCCAGGAGCGAGGGCAGGGAGGTGGGTTTGTGTTGGGACAGGGATACTGGTTTACTGGGATCCTCAGCAAGCAGGATGCTCTCCTAAGGGATGGCATTATTTTGAGAAAAATCTGGAAAAAAATCACATTAAAGACTAAAAAAGAGGAGGGAGGGAAAACTCTCTCCTAATAACTAAGCACAGTGCCAGCAATTTTTGTTACACTCTGTCAGTCCCATGTCTGATCCACTGCTAAGTCTGCTACTTTCAGTCATCCAGAGGTACTTGAAGAGTTGCCCTCACACAGCATAAGAGACTGTCCCTTTGCTTGTTGCTCATGCTTTACAGAAAAGGCAATTTGGCAAAGAGGGAAAGGGTGATTCCAAGGCATTTCCAGGAATTCTTGTACTGCCAGGTGGAAAAAAATAGGTTAGATGTGCTGCAGCTGAATTTAGTTCGTGCTAATGAAAGGAAATAAACCTTGCATGCAAAGATGAGCAAAAAATGCAAAATTAAATGTAGCAGTAATTTTCTAGAGTCTCTGATTAACCTTGTCCTCTGCTTGGAAAAAGTCCTACCAGCTTTGATCTCTAGATCAGTCAGCTAGTGAAGTAAATGTGGTCACTTGGTAAGCCAACAGACTGGAGTTTTACATCTTACTCTTGGGATAGAGTTTCCTGAGACCCTGGATTTGAGGAGCATCCAGAAAGATCAGAATTCCCTAACTTGGAAATACTGTGAGAGGAGAACTTGGGGCTTTTGCTGGGAACCATAAGAATTGTATTTCTGGAAGCTTTGCAGCAAGTTCCAGCCATGTCAGCAAGTCAAGACTTTTATCTGTATCGTGTTTTTCCCCTGGAAGATGGGATTGTGGAAAGAAAACTTTCCCTTTTCCCTTCTCATTTTCTTTTTAAAACTCCAAGTTTAGCATTTTCTTCCTGCTCTGGCTAAATGTTTGGGCCACTTCATATCTCCTGCAGGTGGCTGGCTCTGTCCGAATGTCCTCAGGAGTCCGAGTGACCTTTCACTTGGAATGAGCCTCCCGTGTCTGGAGGGGAGAAGGGGAAGAACTGAGATGCCACCTCCCTGTCCGTGTTTTGAGCAAAGATGTTGGTGTAGCCAGAGTTTCAAAGAGCTCCCTGGGGCAGAGTAAATGTGGAGGAGCCCCTGAGGCACCTGGAGGCGTTGCCAGCTCTTGGAAGGAAACACTCACGTGTGTGCATGGAAGATGCTTTTCATTTTGGAGGCAGCTGCAGTGGATTTTGGCTTTTAAATTAAGCAAAAAAACCTTCCTGCTGAGGGGTTCTTTCTTTTTTTATGAAGTGGGGCTATTTTACCAGAAGGGACAAAACATGAAATAATTACTGTCAAAATCCCAGGATCATAACCAAGTATTTTGGCTTCAGAGTGCCTTTTTTTAGGGACCTAAGGTCTGCATAAAAAGCTTCTAAGCTCACCTCCACTCATTACTCTAGTATTACATTTTTCTGGTACAGACTTGAAGCAAAGACCAAAAAGTCCTTTGACTTTGATAGGGAGTTAATACACCTCTGTTCCTGAAAGGACTTCTGAAATGTTCAGTCAGTTTGAAACACAATTCTTTCTATTCCTTCTCTCATTTCTAAAAAGAAGTGGAAGTGACATTTCGAAATCTGCCTGAAACTTGAAATACATGTTGAGAAATGCACCGAAGTTGAGATGTGCATAAAGCATTGATGAGGGCAGAGTGGGTTAGGAACTTTGCACATCACTCCCAGTTTCCTCTGCTGAGCTCTCACCCTGGGTGTGCACCACAAGAACTTGCTATTTCTGGGGTATTTTATAAAAGAACACAAGAACACAAGCTACACTGGGCAGGTCCCAAACCAGGGAATCTGAGATTATGCTCATAGAGGAATGTCAAATATCAAGACAGGATGTCCCCCTTCCCCTTCTTTGAAATAAATACACCTAAAAAATAAACAGTCTTTGGGATGCAGGAGAGGTGATGTCCTCTAAGATGTGGCAAACAGCAGCTCCTTGGAACCAGCATGAGTGGGAATAAAGAAAATTTACACTTCCTTTCTGAGTATAAAAGAGAAGTCACAGAAAATCTCTTTTCCCCCTCTTCTAAGAGTCACCCTCTCCCTGAGGAAAGAGGAACATGTTCACTGGAAACCAGCTAGTTTCCAGTAAAATCCGAGTGGCAACAAAGGTATCTCTAATTCTGATGTGAATTAGTAAATGGATCTAAACGTTAGGATCTGTAGCCTCCTAAATTGACATAAAGCTTTGCTATTTTCACCTGGATTTTCACCATGAATTAACTAATCCAGACTAAGTCCGCCAATCTTACCTCCTAGAGAAAAGATTGCTAAATTTCTGTTAATTTATTTTTGTGGTGTGTGCTGGGGGACTCCTAAGGCATTAAACAGAGAATAATATGTGTGTGGCAGATGAATGTGGTTTCTTTTCCACTTGAGACCTCAAGCCATAGTTCAGCCCAGGTGCCTCAAAGGAGAAGCCTGTAGATTATTCCACTACAATTAACATCAGCTTTGATTTCAACGACGCTTTTACAAATCAAATATTGGATTTCTAGTTGAAAGCAGAACACAGTTTCCAGCCACACTGCTGTTTTAGTCCCTTTCTGTGTAGCCATCCTGCATCCATGCCAAAATCTCCCAGAATATGAGCAGCACCTGCTGGAAAACAAAGGTCGTGCCTCTCCGAACAGGTCTGGCTTTTTGTTCCTATTTAGGGACTTTTAACATTTGTTTTTTTTTTTTTTTTTTTTTTTTAATTTCCATTTCAATACGAGCCAAGGGGAGGGACCAAGAGGAAAAAAATCTGGAGTATTTTGATCTTTGTGGCTTTATATGGACTTCATAAGCTTCGTTTGTTCTTCTGCCAAGCTTCCTTTGTGTTTAAATAGATAACAGACCAAGACAACTAATCATTTCCAATAAAAAACCCACACCAAACCCAAAGCATTCCCTTTCTTCTCCAATTAATTCTTGTAAACCCATGCTCCTAGACAGGGCCTTGGGACCTAAGCACTTGGGATTTTTTTTTCCCTCCCCTCTTTTCCAAAACAATTGCCCACAGGCATCTGTGCTCTGCAGATTTATGAGAGGATCTTGGAAAAAAGGCTCTGAGAGCATCTCTGGCAGAAGGCAGTTGTAAATAGGATGTGCCAAAGCAGCCTGGTGCACCTTTAGAGGAGCAGCAGCGTGGGGGGCAGTGCCACCATTCATGGACTTCCTTCCTCTTTGGAAGATGAAAGGCTATTTCTGGAGAAGGAAGGAGCAGCAGATCTCCCATGGAACTGTGGCTGGGTTATGGAAAATGCATGTTGATTGCTGGTTTACTGGAGAGCTGCTATCTGCTCTCACTATTTTGGGAGGCGTTGAATTTGAAGAAGAGACAATTTACCGAACCAAAACCACCCAGATTTTACTGCTTGTTGAGGTAAAAAAGGCTGAACGTTCTTGAAGCAGAAGATGAGCTGGGTGGGTGAATCATGGGTAATCATCAATGCAAAGGTTCTTTTTCTCATTAACATGGTTTTCTAATGAAAATAACACAGAGCTTGAGATGCTGTGGTAACACATTCCTTCTTTAGCTTCTTAAGATTTTTGTCACACAACCAACTGTTTGGAGCAACACATTTGTGTGGTCAAAAAGCTGTGTATTTGCCAGCAGCAGAAATGATCCGTAGTAGGAAGTGAGAATCCTGTGAATTGCTTGTGTGGGTTATATTTCTGTGGAGGTTGACCATTCAATCTACACTTCCACAGTCTCTAAGAGTGGCTTTCCATATTAGACACATCAGATTGATGCTGCACAAAGGTAGGAGTTCAACTTGCACAAACTCGATGAATTTCCCTGCCTGGAGGCTGTCTTACCTCTGAAGGGAAAGCAAAGAGCAGGACCTTCCAGAGGTCTATCAGACTGCATCCTGTGTACAATCTCTGGCAATCTGTAAGATTATTTGTTTTATTTCCCAGGTGTATTACTCCTGTGGTGCAGTGGTGCAATCGATGGAGAGAGGTCTGATTTTATCACCAGGTTTTCCCAACAACTACTACCCAGGGATACACTGCGTTTGGCAGTTTTTCATTCCCATGAGAACCCATCTCATCTTGGAAATCTTTGACTTTGACATTTTTGAGAGCTCTGGTGAAACTCCAACCCCCTGGGATGGCTCTTCAGCCCCCACTACAACAGGAAACAGCGACGTGCCTTCTCTTGAGGAAAGCCTGGACTTGGCTCTCCCTACCACAAAACCCTCTCTCCAGACCTGGATGTCGAAGGTGGCTCAGAATCTGAGCAGCACCAGAGATCAGACAAAGGACTTTGCTGATCGACTTCCAGGAATCACCTCAAAGAAAGAAGAAGCCAAACAAGCATCTGAAGAAAACCAGTCGAAGCAGATGAAGGAACCCAAAGTGACTACCAAGGCTCAAGCAGAGGAGCTGCCGTTGCCAGTGGCTGGTGGTGCCCCAGTGCAGAGGGAGAACACCAGTGGCCTGGAAACGGGAGATGATCTGGAAGGGAAAATCTTGCTTGCCCACCTAGCTGCTGCCAGCGAGAGAGATGAAGTTCCAGTAGAGAGCTGGACTCTTCCCTCCACAGCACTGCCCGTGGAAACCTCCTCCAGCCCTCAGCCAGCAGCAGATCTCTGTCCCCACGATGTACTCTATGTTTCTGATCTCATCACCTTCTCCTCTCGCTTCTGTGGGCCAAATTCCCCTTTGAACAAGACCATGGTCTTTGGCTCCTCTCTGGAGATGGTGGAGGTGATCATGGAGCTGATCACCACCACGGGCCGGGGCCGGGGCTTCGCGATGCTCTTCGAGTACAGGAACATGACGGCAGCCGGCGCTGTGGACGCTGTGAGGCAGGAGAGGAAGGACAACACGATGCTGCTGGCAACTGGAACTGGCATCGTTGTCTTCGTGCTTGCTTTGCTCTCTGCCCTCTGCATAGTTTGCAGGTAAGGTGATGTGAATCAGAGCCTTTGAAGCCCTTGACATAATCCCCAGGAAAACCACCAGAAAACAGCTCTGTTTCCTCTGCTCTGTTAATGTTTCTGTCCCTCCAGTGGAGTGAAGTGTGTGGGCACAGAGGAGGTCAGTGCCAGTCACTGCCCCTGCCCCAGGCTCCTCAGTTTTCTTTCCTATTTTTAAAGCTCCTGTACCTCAAATTTATTTTCTTTTTCCAGCAGAAATACCTGAAAGGTCAGGACTTTCCTGGACATTCTTTCTTTTCAGTGGCAGTGGTGCCTTTGAACCTCAGTTTTGGGACCATAATTGGCCAATGAACAAAGATCATCCTTCCCTGAGTGTCCCAAGCAGGCTGGGCTGACATACACTGCATCTTTCCAGAGACCCCAGTTTGACTCTAACTAACCATCACTAACACTCTGCAGAAAAGTAAATAGTAAGCAAACTATTACCACTTAGAATTAAGATTAAAAATTGTTTTCAGAGTCTGTAGTATATTTTGTCCAAGAGTCTGTGCAGATATTCTAACTCCAGTGCATTCAGTGTTCTAAGGAGTCATCTGCACACCCCTCTGATGCTGGGGAGGAGCTGAGCGCCACACCACGGTGCCTCTCACTGTTCCCAAATGTAACCCCAAATGACAGAGCCAAGTGATCTGATGGCCAGGCTGGGCTGCTGATTTCCAGCTCCTGGTGCTAACTGGTTAAATGGCTAAACCCTGGCAGCTACAAAAGCATGCCTCTCCAGTCAACTGCTTTGATTTCATATGTTTCTTTCCTCTATATTTATCCAAAAAACACTTCTCCGCCCCCCCAGCATATGTTTGCATTTTTCTTTCCAGCTCCCTAGTGAAAACGTTTTTGTAGAAACAGTGATTTATTTTTTTTTTCCTTCCAACAAATTCAAAACAGAGTCCAAGCTCCCCAGGTTTTTGTCAAAGTAAACAGCATCTTTCCAATGTTTTGATTTCAGTGAACACATCAGGTAACCTGAAGCAAACCCTGGCCCTGGCAGGGTGCTGACTGGGGACTGGCAGTGCCTTTGTTTCCCAGAGCCAACTGGCCTGCCCTCTCTCCTCCTGCATCCCCATTTACTGAGCATCCTCCAACCCCAAAGGTCTCAGGATTGCCCAGACATTCCTGGTGCCTGAGGGTGCTTTGACAGAGGAACTTGTTTTTCCTTGTCCTTCTGAAGGCTGCATTTCTAGCTCTGGCTGAATAAACACAAACTATGGGCCATCACACTGGGCAGCAGAGAACTGTGGAGAAACTTCAATATAACCTCTCTTGCTGTATGTAAAGAAATTCCTGCCTTCAGAGCCTGAGCTCTTGATAGTTGTAAGGGTTAAACTTGCATGTGTCACATCTAAGTAACCTTCTTCCTTTCCAGAGAGCTTGCAGAACACTGGTTTAGACCACATTTTTTTTGCTGGCTCTAAAGGAAAACGCCTGCTGGAAAATGTCTTCCAGATACCAAATACTTTATTTTTATACCCTTGCCAATCTTCAAAAGAGACAGAAACAGTCTCCCTTCGCTATGGCAGCAGTCTGGGCTGATACACATGTTGAGTAGGCTGTTCTTGCTCCAACACCCCTATTTAATTTCACTGTAACCATCCATGAAGCAGAGTATTATTCAAACCAAAAGGTACACGGGCAATCTGAAGTTCTGCTGGCTGAGGTTTGCTCTGCACAGCCTGTTCAGAAAGTCAGGCCATGCTGCTCTCATTCACAGTTTGGCTTTTTGCTTGTCAGATGTTTACAAAATAATGTTCTGCTCTTGCTGACCAACAGAGAGAAAAGTGCTCATGATTTCAGCCCCAAACACAAATGTTTATGTGTTCTGGGAATGCATCCTACCAAGAGCCCTATGGCACAGGATCAGGGTTAGACTCTCTTCTTTTAACACTGGTGCTTGTGCCTTTTCACTGCTCTGCAACTCTTCTTTATTTTTACATGAAGATATCTCTACCTCAGTCAGCTATTGACTGGATATAAATAGAGATTATCCCTACTCCTTTAGCCTCTTGAAAGGGCATTTACCATCCCAGCTGCCTGAATTCCCTGCATTCTGTTCCAGGAAGGTCTTGATTACACTACTGTATTTCTTGTCAGACTTAAAGCATTAAAGTGAGAGCTGACAGAGGTGGAAGCAATGCCATGACCTGTGCTGAGTTCCCTCCCTTGTGTTGCACTGGAAGAGTCTTTGTTCTCTCTTTGCTGGGCTGACTGCTTCGAGGATAACTGCCCCCAGAACCACTGGCGGTGCTTGGAGCTTGCCTACCCCTCCCAGCTGGGGGTTTTTAATGCAGAATAAGACTGCAGAGGCCACTAAACACACCGACACTCCTCTTAGACTCAGCCCATCGAGCTCTGTTTTGTGCTTCTTGCCCTAAGAAATCCGGTGTCAAATGTGTAATAACCACAACCTGTCCTCCCTGCAGGAAATGTCAGGGTGGCAAGGGGTGGGCTGAGGGGGGAAATGGCAGTGTTTTAGCAGGACAGCACAGTCAGAAGTGAGAGCAGCTCCCTGAGGCACAGTGACACTCGTCCTGGCCAGGCTGTGCCACTGCAGATGATGCCAGCAGTAACCTTGAAGCTCCTGGCCTTGTAAACTTGCCTTCCACTTTCTTTTCTCTTCATACTCGATTTGTTTCTCTGGTACCAGGTTTAGCTGTTGATTTTTTTTTTTCCCCATTTCTATCTGCTGCTCTTGCTCAGCTAAAAGTAGCAGGCTCTGCCTTGCCAGGAGTAGAAATGGCCTGGGATGGGCTTGGCATCCACTGCCACTCCATGCACCGAGCCATCAGCAGTATCTGCTGGGGCTCATTGCATTCAGCCAGGGCAAAGCTCTCTGGGGAAACTCCAAGTCTCTGCCACACTGCAGCTTTTGTTTGCTACTTGGGGAAGGAATGAAAGCTTCACTTGTTAGTTGGCCAATAATTCTAATTACTTTTGGCCATGAGGCCTGGCTCGAGTAATGGGGTATTTTTTATTTTCTTTCCCAAGCCCCAGGAACAACAGATATGTCCACCTTATTTAGTCCTAATCCTGTCCCATGCAGTCAAACTCTTGCTCTAAGGTTGCAACCCATGGATTGCAGCTGCCTTTTGCATCTGCTCAGGACCTGTTCCCACTCACAACCCTTCAGGTACAGCGATATCATCGACCATCACGTGCTGCCCTCTCTCCCTGCACAGGCTGCCCTGCCAGCCACTGCCTGCCACCCTCTGTCACCTGAGCATGACAACGTGCCTTTGTCATGGAATGCCCTGCTAGAGAATCCTCCTAAAAGCAGAGCTTTCCTCTGCCCCCCTCGTGCAGACACCCCTTGCTGCCTGCTGGAGCTGTGGCCTCCCTTTCCCTCCTCTGCACATCCCACTGGTTTAGTTGGACACCTCTGACAGCTACACCTGCCTGGAGCTGCCCTTTCACAAAGCTTTCAACAGACTTTATTTTATTTTGTTTGTTTGTTTACTCAAGAATTTTGAAGCAACTTTTTTTTTTTTTTTTTTTAATCACATTTTCTTTTAAATGACGGCAACTGGTCTGTTTTCACATTGGCTCGTTTGTGCTCATGAGCTGATGATCCAAATCTCTGGTCTCCTTGGTGGAGAGGTCCTCAGTGGACCACAGAGATGAAGTCCAGCTGGGGAATGAGCTAAAGAAACATCTCCAGCCCTGCAAACCAGAGCATCTCTGTGCTGGTTTTTAGCAGCAAATCAAATTGTTCAGCGAAAATCAGACTCTCAACACCCAAAACTTGATGAGGGAAGAAAAATCCAAACAGTGCTCTTTCAGCCAGGTACCATTTTTCAATCCTAATTTAAACTTTGTGAAGAACAGGACTCTCTCTCTTGTTCCATCATCCTCACACAGGAAACATCTTTGCTGGGGGCACCTTTCTCTGCCTTTGGTTCATGCTGCCAAACTGCAGGGTGGATTTCAAGGTAGTTATGGTGTCTGCTAAATTTATAAAGAACAGCAAGGGAAGGAGCCAAGAATGTAAGGTATTCCAGTTTCTTAAGGCAGAACTTGCCCGGTCTATCCATACTTTAAATTTTTCTGTGTGTTTTGACAGGGAAGAGCTGGGAAGAGAGGAAGATAATAATAATAATAAAAAATACTGCCATATGAACAAACAGGGGAATTCCACAGTTCTCCCACCATCTACTTGAATGCCTTGACCACCATACTAATTCCTTTTTTTGTGGTATGCTTGGCCAGGTCACTCCTGCTGAAATGATTCTGGTGCCCAAAAAGAGCTTCTAGGGTGTGTGTGTATTGACATACACATTTTCTAGTCTGAAATATTTCCTATGTTGTTTGATCTTGCTTGATAAGGCAACCCTACTCCTACCTGGGAGCCTTTCCCTGCTCCCCCTCCCTGAATCAGTGCATTTAAAGAAGAGCCTTCCCTGCTTTAGCCTTGAGTTTCCCTGAGAAGCCCAAGCAGGGGCTGTGCCTCCTGCAGGAACAGCTATCTGTCTGGATCTCCTCTGGGTTAAATTCCCAAGTGCCAACTTGCTCTCCTCTCCTTTCTGTGGTCCTCTCTGTATTCACCAGGAATAGCATGTGGGTTTTTTCTCCCTCAATTCACTTGTCAGTCAATGAGCATTTTTTTAAGAGGCCCAATGACACGGTGAAGGAATGAAACCCATCATGCCTGAGATGGAGCAGACACTGGCTCCATGCCAACCACCTTAGGTGGTCCCTGAGCCCCTTTTCTTAAAAACAAACAGCAATGAAATGGTGGCTGAAAACTTGACATCTTGGCTTCAACCCATAACTACCAAAAACACTTGCATGGAGGAGATTAAATGCCTTCAAACAAACCAAACCCCACAACAAGAAGCACAACAGCCAGCAGCACAGACAGTAGGGAAACAGTAACACTGGTCACATCCCATCTGGCCAGTGCCTTGATGCTCCCATGTGTCCACTGTCCCCCAGAGAACCACTGAGCACCAAGGCAGAACATTCTTGCCTCAGTCATAACATTCATTAGTGCCAGTCCTGCCTTAAGGTATCTTTAAGTCTTATCCCTCCAAAAGTCATTAACACGAGTTGTTTCATGATCTCAGTTTTACAAAGAATGTGAAAGAAAGGTTAAGAACGTGCCTGTGTCTCCCTTCAGCCCAGGGCACACCCACCCCACCATGATCTGCCTCAGTGGAATGGTCACACGAGTGGGCAGCATCTGATACTCTCTGCTCGCTAAATATAGCCCAGCATGCAGAGTTAGCTCTGCAGATGAACTGCTCTGTCTACCAGTATCAGAATGGTGCCACTGCCCAGACCCAGGCGGGATCTCAGCCCCGCTGTTTCGTTACTGATGTTGAAGAGCAGCTGACAGGGGGAGCCTGCTGGGACCTGGCAGAGGTCTGTGCACTGTCCCTGCTTTTGCAGTCATCATGGGAAGAAGATGACAGGTTCTTCTCTTCTTCAGCTGGCTCCCCACCACAGAAGCATATCATTTTCTGCCCTGTTTCACAGGCTTTGCCTCCTTAGTCTTGGCAAGTATTTGGGCTGCTCCTGTGGGTAGGAGAGCTCACAACTTGCTGGGTACCCCTTGCACGGCCAAGACCTTCCCGTGGGACCTTTAACTCACTTGCGGGCTTGTTGTTGTTGTCGCTGTCTCTCCTTTCCAGGCAGAGAACGTGCCCCAAAAGGAGCTGGTCCAACGCATGCAGTGACCAGGAGGTTAGTGCTAATGGCTTCAGCAATTTCTCTTTCTCTCTTTCACACTGGCTGTTGCACTGTTTATCTGACCATGTTTACTGGGGCATGTTCTGAGTTGTAGAACAGGATCCAGAACTCCACTGTCGATATCAATGAGCTCCAGCTGGTGGTGCCAAGCCGGGAGAATGAAAACAACAACCACTCTGTCAGCCGGGAGCAGGCGGGTAAGCGCGGGCAGCGACCGGGCCGGGTCAGGGCACTGCAGCCCTGGGCCACTTAATCAGATAGTCCCTTCCTTGCACTCCTCCTCTCCATCTCAGCCATGCACAGCTGGAGAGCTGCTCCACAGCAGAAAGCCTTTGTTGTGGGGGCTCTCCCTCGCTGCTCTCCCCCCTGCCTGAGAGGGTGATTCCCCTGGCAAGGAGCGCCCACGAGCGCAGCTCCAGCGTGCTGCCAACACAGGCTGGGACAGCACACGGCGTGGCACAGACACTGGGTTAGCAGAGCAGAGATGTTGGGTTCAGGCTGCCACAGATCCAGGAATTGTGGCACAGTTTCACCTGCCCTGTGCCTAACCTTGTCCAGAAAGGATGGGGTTTACAGCGCTCCAAGGGGCTCTGGTTTATTTACGTCAGCTTCTGAGCTCACTGCTGCTGGGGGTCTTTGTGAATCTGCTTTGGGTGACATCTACCTCACTGGGGGTTAACAGAGAAGGGCACCCCAGTGTTCCTGTGAACTATCAGCCACTAGACACACACCTCTCACGAGGGTATCTTGATAAACAGCTAATTCTGTGCTCCCAGCCATGGCAGTTTCCCAACTCCTTCTTTGGAAAAGTCACTGAGGAGCTGTGACCAGAGTTCTCCTATCCTTGCCCAGATGACAGGCCTGGGGACACATGCACACACTCCATGGCAGTCCCTGGAGCATCAGCTGCCTGGAGGAGCAGCAGCACTAGGGTTTAGCCAAAAAGCACAGCTCCCAATATCAGCAGGTATGAGTAAATACAAATAAAAGATGAGCAGAGAAGGCTGCAGGTTTCTGATCTGCAGCACAACCTTGTGTATTTAACACAAAAGATTTCAGTTCACCCCTGCCTTTATTAGAAAGGAGATCCAAGGGTGTTCCTCCTCTCCTCCTTTGTTTTTAAAAGCTTGCAGTTTGAGGAGAACAAACTGTTGGCTCGAATTTTGTTCTGACTGGTGTGACAGGCAGCCAAAGCCCGCTCCAGACTGTCGAGGGAGGGAGGAGGGTTTGTCACAGAGGAGCTGGAAACTGATGTTTTGGACTCTAGCAAGCAGCCTTTATTGATTTTCCTCCTTTGTCAGTGCCCTCCTGCAGGGGCAGCACAGAACGGTCTCCTCAGGACACCGACCCAGACGTGCCCTCCTCCATCTCCGCAGTGACCACCGAGACCGGCAGCGATGAAGTGTTCATCATTTCTGCTGGGCCTGGGGCCAGTGGGCTGAGCTTTACCACCTACAGAATACAGGTAGGAATGCTCTCTAGCATCTCTAGCAAACCACAGCATGTCCCTCTTGGGCAGCACCTCTCATATCTGTCCATTTACGACCACCACCCACTTTCTGAGAAGGGCAGTGACTGAGCTGGGCAGTTCTCCCAACCCTCGAGCTGAGCTGCCATCGAATGATGTGGGCTGGGATCCCCTGAGCCAGCGTCTTCCCAATTTTGAGAAGAGTTAAGTACAGAAGTCTACCTTGAACCTGATAGCCAATAATGCAGATGTCTGCCAACAGGCAGTAAAACCAGCCCTCTGAAATATGTTATTTGGCAAAGATGATGTTCCACTAAAAATATCACCTGTAGCAGCTTAAAGACCTGGGAGTCAGACCTGCTCCTGCCCACCACTCCCAAGACATCAGAGAAGGAACTCAGCTCCTCAGCTTGGCAGAAAATTACCTGTCTCTCCAGGCTGATGTGAAAATTAACAGTGTAGGCTACAAAAAAACCAAGTGCTTCAAAGTGAAAGAACTGGGGCCCTTTCAAATTCAGACAAAAACCCGAATCAGTTCTGCAAGTTCTTATTTTAGCTCTTTCCCCTGCACTCCTGGTCCTTTATTTGTTTAGGAATAGGTGATGGCTCAGAAGCCTCAGGTCTGGCTGCCACCTCTTCAGCCTTGAGCGAGTGCAGAGGGGGCACATCCATTACAAGTGTGTGCTCAAAGCCTTTCCCAGGTCAGTGTTCTCTTCTCCAGTGCCCTCTCTTTTTCCCACAAGAGGAAAAACAAGCAGCACAAGGAGTTCACATGCCCAGGACAGTCTGTGTAATACTCCTGTCACAGTTTACAAAACAAAAGCATTCTGTATCCCTGCACTTGATTAGGAAGTTAGCCAGGAGGCCAGGCTGCTCAGGATTTTCCTACCCTAGTGTAAGACACGTGCTGAGCTTTTCCTCCACTTGGCCACACTGATTAACAGGAAGAGAGAAAGAAAGGAAAACAGCTCTGGTGCCTTCCCTTGCCTAAACATTACCCTTGTGTGGAGCAGAGCACTGAGAGCTGCACCCAAACTGGGCACCCCTGAGCACCTGAACTCCTTGGTCCCTCTGCCCAGGGCAGAGCTTCACCTGCTGGCAGTCACATCCACACACAGCTTCTGGGCAGAGGGAAACCCTCCCTGCTGCCTCCGTTCCCCCCTTGAGTCAGAAGGAACCGATACACTTATAATCCCCATTTCTATTCTGCCATCACTTCTGCAAGCATCTTCAGAGGAGATTTATATATTCAAAAAAACAATAATGAGAGAGTTAATGATAAACCAGTGAAAGTAACCCAAGAATAAAAGTGATTTACCTTATTATTAACTCAGAAGGCATCTGCTCCTCGGTGCTGTCCATGCTGCAACACAAGTGAGTCAATACTCCCAACCAAATCCCTCGATGAGCAGCAAACCAAGCCAGGAAGCCTGGCAGGGCCTCTTTGAAAGCTCTGGGTCTCTCCCCACAGCTGATGACCATCATCTCCAGGGGAGTGGAAATCAGGCACAGCTGGCTAAAGACAAACCTGCCCTCAAAGGGAGCTCATGGGGCCGCTTGTTCCTCAGGGTTCCTGCATGTTAAACATGTGTGCAGTTTAGTTTTGAAATGTGTGTTTTTAGGGTGTGAAATGCAGCTGGGCAGCCAGCCCCTGAGCCTGCAGAGGGGATGGTGGCCCAGCACTGGGGAAGTGGGATGAGTTATCCTCTGGAGCAGAGCCCATTTCTTGGCAGGGATCCTCCTGCAGTTCTCCTCCTGGGAAGAGATGTGTGAAATGCTGAGCCAGCAGACTCACCTCACCCAAAATGCTCCCCTAGACAAAGCAAGAGAGAAGGAGCTGTCATTAAAAACATTATCCCAACCTTTTCACTGAGCAGTGGTGCCTGTCCTGTGCCCCCCAGCAGGTGAGCCCCGCTCTGCTGGCCTGATAAACCAGCTTCTGCTTTCAGCTCCTAAAACCTGCTGGAAGACACCATCCCCTGCCAGGAGGGAAGAGCAAACGTGTCTCTGTGTGTGACTAGTGAGAGGACACAGGGGGCAGGATGGCTTTGGGATGGCTTCCCAAAATCATGGCTTTGTAAATCCTGTTTGTTTTCAGGCATCGTTCAGCCTTTGGCCAACCTGTGACTGTGATGTCTGACTTCTGATCAGACACTGCAAGTGTCAGATGCAAAGGTTTGAGTAAAGAGAATGATCATGGAAGCATAAGAATCGTTTTTTTGCCAAAGCATTTTCAAAAATGTAGAAAATACATTATTCATCTTCGCAGATACTCCCAGTATATCTATCTCAAAGCGGTGGCTAATTTTTACATCAATTCAGAGGTATTTATAGTCATATTAGAATAATAAATCCTAAGACAGCCTGAAGGAATTTCTGAGGAGAAGACAGCTGGCTTATAAATTTATAAATATTGTTGCTTTAACCAAATCTGAGACTGGGAGCTTAATATTGAAACAAACTTATCCGGAGCCTGACACCTCTCCTGGCTTCCTACTGAGTTTTTATTCTGCTGTAGTAGTTAATTTCTTGCCTCTCTGCCCATCCATTTCCAATATGACATTTTCACTAAATAGTTTCTTTGATTTGCAGAAACTTGAAAGATTCGGTTTCTCAGAAATAACAAATCACAAGTTTCTGGTTTCTCAGAACTTTTAAATCCAGGACAGTGTGGGATTTGTTTCAGACCCTTTTTAATGACTATGTAAACTTTGGGAATGTGGATTTGGCATTCTTCTCACGACAACCATATCTGCACAGCTGAAAATTAAAAATATCTATAGAGTTGTGTAACGGGTGGCTTATATAAATAACAGGTGAAGTATTAGAGAAGAATGAAAGGAAATGCATAGGACTGTCAGGGATTCTTTAACTTTAAACCCATATCAATATTAAGGACAAAAACTGTGATTTTAAATGCAACATCAGAACTTATAAAGTATCAAAGAGATTTTTGTCTATAGTTCATTCCCATGTCTGATCAGCTCTGCTTATGCACAGGGCTGGTGACAAGGTTTAATGCGGTCTCACCTTCTGATGATGACAATTTTACACCTGTCTGGATGTCTTGTTCTACTCCTAAAGCACAATTTCCACCTGAAGAACATTTTTTATGCAAAATGAAAATCTCCTTGGCTCCCATCCAGTCCCTGTGCTTGTTGTTCTGTTCACCACAGACACCGAGAACAGATTATCCCTTTCTCTTTATTTTTAATTATTTTTCCTAATTCTTCCCTCTCATAGAATAAAAAGCACTACTTCAGTCTTTCCTCTTGAACTGTGCATTTTTCAGACTCCTGATTCTCCTGTTTCTTGCTTCTGGATTTCCTTCAGCAGGCCCCTTCCCCCCTGCAGTCTCCTTTGCCCAGGTAGGCACACCTGGAGCCTCCCAAGAGCCAAGCTGGGTGGCAGGATGATGTTTTACCCAGACAAGTTTGATCTGACGTGTATCTCCAGTAAAACTGAGCTGCAGGTATTGCACGTATTTGGTCAGTGAGAGCGGTGTGATCGCTTCCACAACTGAAATTTCCCAGTGTTAAACCCAGAATGGGGGAAGGAAGGTGCAGCTTCGCTCCAGGGATACCAGCAAACTCCAGGCAGCCGCGAGAGCAGCGAGGAGAAGTTGCGTTCCCGAGCGCTCCGAGGACGACTCGATAAATCAACGGTTTTTTAAAGTGTTTTAAAAACATCTGGATGAAAAACTCCGCGAATGACCTTTCTTTACTCTTGTCAGGACAAAAACCTGAAGAGGAGCGTGACGAGCCCGGGCTCGGTGTCGGAGTGGCTGAGCTCCCACCCTGCGGCCGCAGGAGCTGCCCAGAAGGGCAACGTCCCCCCGGACAATCCCTGTCCCCGGCAGCGCACCTGGAGCGCCCGCACCTTCCACGACCTCCTGGCTCCCATCCCGCAGCTGCAGAAGAAGTGGCGCAGCTGGACCACCAGCAGTCCCTTCACCAAGCTGGTTGACAGCGGCGTGAGTCCCGCAGGGAGGGGTGGGGGGGGTATAACCCCAGGACCTGCTGCTGCTGCTGCTGGGACACCTTTTCCCCTCGGCCACCGCTCTGCCTCTGCATCCTGCAGTTCCACACACATTTCAGTCCATCTTCCTTGCTGGCTGGGAAATTCCTTTGCCCAACTGTACTGTAATTTAGCCACTGAAACGTTGAGAAGCCGTGTTGTTTCCAGCAGTTACCGCCTGGTTACGAAATTTCCCCAGTCCCCAAAAAAAACCATTAAAAAAATGCCTTCAGGCAAGATCATCTCATAGAGTGTTCTGATTTGTGCCTTTTCCCCTGGTTAGGCCTTAAATTTAGTGTAACTGGTGTATTATTATTGCACTGCAAGAGCCCATAGGTGTGGCAGGGACATCGAGGTCTCACTGACTGTAACCATCAAACTAACAGCTTGTTACAAAGCTAATAGAGGATGTCTCTTCCTTTTTAAGGTAATAACACAGGTTTTTGCTAAAGAACGCATCTTACCTCTAACATAACCAGGAATTTTAACTTTTAATTCCCTTGGGATCAAAGTTTCTAATTTTGTGTTATTTTGTGCAGGGTTTTTCTACAGCTGCAAGATCCCAAGGTGTCCCAACCAGAAAGGTAATCTCAGCCATCGAGATAGAGGGAGCATCAGAGACCATGTACTCTGATTCATCTGCCAGTAATGCCTCCTACCCCCTCACCCAGTCTGCCCAAAGGCAGAGGAAGCTCACCTCCTGCAATTTGAAGAAATCCAGATTTGGGAACCCTTATTTTGGATTTTTAGCCAGTTCCCCTGACAGCAAACCTGTGAGGTCCTTGGATCCCTCAAGACACCTCGGGGCAGCATCTCCTGTTAACAGCCAAAGCCCCAAAAATCTTCTAGAGAGCTCCAACCCACTGAAAATCAACTTGGTCAATGGTTCAAAAACAAAGGAGCTTCTGGTAGAAACAGATAAAAACAAACCTGTTTTTGTTATTTCTGAGGAAGGGGACGATCAGCAGCCTCTGGTCCTCGCAGAACATCTCAGTCCCTGTGGAGACCTGGCTGAGCCAAGTGCTGTGTGTGCTGTGCCAGACAGGCAGCCCCTGGCTCTGACTGCTGAGGGGAACAGTTCTACCACCCTGACATCAAACCTTCCCCTCTGGGCAAAGTCTCCTGCTTTATACAAAGCTCACATGAAGGCCCCCAGCTCCTCCAGGGACCAGCAGAGCTCAGCAGGTGTCGATGCCAACACTGCTGAGCCCTCACAGAACTGTGACCCCCCAGCTGCTCCCACACTGTGCCAAGCTCCGGTGCAGTGATGCCCCTGGAACATCAGTTCACCAAAAGAGAGGCAACAGGGACTTGAGCAGAGCAGAAGCTGTGCCAAGCAGCTGAGGGTGGCAGTCACAGGTGGATGCAGCTTTGTTAAGAGCAGTCTTTGCTCCCCACACGGGGGGACTGAGATGATGAGGATACAAACCAGAGCACAGCACAGGTGCCGTTGTCCCTTGGGCTCTCTGACCTCCTCCCTGCTCTTCTGCATGACAACTTGGTGTGGGGTTTGTACAAGAAAGCATCCTCTGAACAGGTACTTCAGGCTGCAGGAACCCTTCTCTGGAGTAGGAATGGAAATCACCTGGGATGGTTTGTATCTGAAATGGAAATCAGTCCCCTGCCCCTGTGGTGTCACTGGAGTCTTTCTGTTGGGAGCTCTGAGCTGACTTCTGTTTATAGCCATGCCTGTACAATCCAAGGGGAGGAATTCAATCGTGCATGTTTGCATACAATTCTGTAAACTTCATTTTAAGCATTTCATAACTTCTGCACTCTAGCACAACGCTTACCAAGCATCAGCATCTCTTATTAAAGACCATGATTAGCTCATAGCCTAACTCTTTAGAGCAGTGCACAGACAAGCTGAGCAACCCAACACCAGATGCTTGTTCTATAAAAGTCTGATGTAGCTTTATCTTTGTTGGATCCACACAGGCTTAGAACACCTCAGTCCACCCCATTCAGTGACTCCTCATGGCAACAGGAGCATGTGTACAAAAACACTGAAATACTGGGAATAGTCTTCAGCATCCAGCCCTTGGATGTTTGCAGCTGCTCTGATCCTAAATCCACCAGCTATTTATTGCTGGTAACGCACACTGACTGCAGAACCATTTCCCTCCCTTGAGCAGGCAAGATTTAAAAGACAAAATTAAATGGGGCAAACTTTGAGTGCTTTCTTTGGAAATTAAGTGGCTGTGCCTCCCCGAGCACCAAGCCAGGGTGCTCCATGGAACACTGAACCAAAGGGAAGCCTGCTAGTCTCACTGCCTTTAAAAACCCCATCAGTGTTTTAATTGCCTCCTGGTGATATTGTCCCATCTCTGCAAGAATCCTGCATGTTTGGCCCACAATTTGGAATTATTTTGCTTTCTCAAATGAAAAAAAAAAATTCCCCCTGAAGCTGTATTTTGTGGCTGACACAGCACATTGTTTTAAAGCAATAGCATGTCCCAGAACAGGTGTCAGAAAGAAATCTTCCACCAGTCTTCCCCTGCCTTGGCCACAGGGTGCACCCAGTTATCTTAAGGCTGATTCCTGAAATATTTAACTGAGTTATTTATGGTTTCACCTGCTATTACAGCTTCCATTTGCCACCTATTGATGCCTGGGATATGCAGCACAAGTAGGTTTTGCCTTATATTTTGTGTGTGTGTGTTTACATGTCTACATAGACATAAAAGCCTCGCAGCAGTGGAAGCAAAAACACATTTGCCCTTCAGCAGTTGACTCAAACATGAAGAGCAAACAAATCTCTGCATCTATTACTGCCAGACTGTGTTGAGTAGTTTTGAAGTGCAAAAGTCTGGCTCCACATTGGTTGCTTCTTTTTTTGTGGGGTATTTTTTTTGTTGTTTAAATTAATGCTACTTGATTCAAAGGGAAGAGTTAATATATTTATAATTTTAAAACTATTTAGAAGTCTTCATCCCTCTAACAATAACTTCCACTGCGTTAAACTCATACACATTGTAATTCAACGTTCTGTTACTTCTTACATTTCTAAAGACTGAAGTACTAAAATCTACCTTTGAAAAGTACTTGTGTTCAGTTATTGGCAATAGTTACATTTGAAGGGCTGGGAAAAGCGGTTTTTTCAATAAAAGCATGTTGAACTATTCATTTGTACGGTGTAACAACACTTACTTTGTTTATTTTGCTGAGAGGCTGCAGTGTCTGGGCAGTGGCTCAGAGCGGGGTACCCCAGGACAGCAGCTGTGCTGGAACGAGCAGAGAAGCAAACACTGGAGGATTAGACCTTTCTCAGCTTCTCCTCAGCCACTGGGCCAGATTTCAGATGAGCTGGTTGTTTACACTGACCTGCCCTCCTACCTGTTGTGCAACCCCAGAGCAGATTTTGCTAAGCAGGGGCAGATTGCTGCCGTGGGGTTGGCATTTCCTCTCATATCCTGCTTGTCTGAACCCTGCACAGACCCTTTGGAGCCCCCTGACACCCTGTGACTGTGCACAGAAACACGTGCAGGGAGGCCCTTTCCCGATAAATGGGCAATATTGAATGATGCTGATGCACCTGCAGCTGCTGCAGGTACAGAGACACCCACCCTGCCAGGCCAGCCCTGGAGAGCCCCCAGGGGAGACTCCAGTTCCTGAGGTGCCTTTTGAAGTTTGTTGCTTGGTTGGTTTTTTTTGTGTTGTTTTTTTTTTTTCCCCTTGGGTAGATCACAACTGCTAAAGAGGTAGTTGTGTTTTATTTTGTACGTTCCTAAGAATGTATAAAATATTTTCTGCCTCTGTTTTGAAGTTCTCGTGTTTTTCTCCCCCAGCCAGGAACACAAACAGCTCCCACCCAAACTCTTCAAGGAAGTCACAGAGCAAAGCTAAGACATTCTGAAAGCTCCAGGTGGAATAAAGTGCTCTGATTCTCTCAGCTGTAAATATTGCCTGGGATTAGTTTTTAAATAGTATTACTGGTGGCATTTATTTTGTTCCTAACAGCTATCATTACTTCAGAGAGCTCTGCTGCCACTTGTGAGGACAGAAATCCTCACCCCTCATGCAGGTACTCAGCTGCAGTTTTAGCTTCGTGCAGGGCAGTCAGTTTGCTGAGCTATTCTGCACGTTGAAACCAAGCAGCAAATGGGATAAACACACTAAACACTCACTGAAGAGCAGGGAAATCATTTCAGTCCCAAAATGCCACAAAAATGCAATGGAGCTAACAAAGAGAAATATTCTTTTCAGTAAAACTCTGCTTGCACAGTGTTCACCTTTTGTGTTTTTTTTTTTTTTTTTTTTTTAATTAATTATTTTGGAATATGCTAGGCAATCCCTCTGGGGATTTAGCAAAATATGAACTGAGGTTTCCTTTCAGAAAATTAACTTTTCTTTAAGAGCAGTTGCTTACAAAGCTTTCTGCTCAAAACTCCTTTGGTTTTTTTTCCCATGAGGGTAGCACATGGGCACCAACAAAACACATTTGGCTCAAATAGCCCAGTCAGTAGATTTTATTCTAAACAATTAAAGATTAATTTGGATTGCAAGGGGAAAAAAAAAAAAAAAAGGTAATTCTTAAGCCAACACTTACCTAACGAAAGCAAGTGAAACTCAGCAGCACTGAAAAGAATACCCAACAGAGACCAAATACAGCTTGAACATACATTCATGGTCTGTCTGGAAATGTCTTTGATGTTAAACCTCATATGGCACACTTAGCATTTTTTATAATTCATTTCCTATGGAAACTAATGAGCTTAAGGGTGAAATTACCTCATTGAAAGTCAAAATGGAAGTGTGAAGAAAAGAGGGATGACCTGGAAAGCAGATTTAGAAGCAATCTTTGCATATTAAGCATTGCTGTGGGAAATAGTATAATTAGTTTCCTTCAGAAGTTATTCCTTGGAATTGTGTAAGTGGTATTTCAGCTCCCAAACACCATGCAGAAAGAATGTTAGATAAGATAGGTGGAAAAAATGCAAAATCCCCACAACATTCAAGAGATCCTTTTC